TGGGCAAGCAGCTGGGCCGCAACCGCATCGTGTGCCGCGTGGTGGAGATCAAGCGGCCCTTTGGCGTGACCATGTACCGGCTGCGGAGCGGAGCTGGAGTGGTGGAGGGTATGCATCAGGCCAGCAGGCTATCTAAGGCGCCACCCAGCCTGGCCAGCGAGCTGACCTTCAGCGGCACGGCGCAGCGAGGAGTGCCTGTGGTGTCTCTCAATGTGGCGATGGCGGCGCAGCCCGGCGGCGGCAAGGCAGCCGTGCGCTGCGGCTGCCGCGGCGCCTGCACCCGGAACTGCAGCTGCAAGAAGAATGGTGCGCGGTGTGGGCGGCACTGTGGCTGTATAACCGGTAAGGGTGGCAATTGCAAGAACCATTGAAAAAGTGTGCCTTGTACGCTTTGCCGTCTCCGCTGGAAGGTGCTGCCGCCTGTGGCGGCTTCATATTTCCTGTTCATTTCTGTTGTTCGGTCTCTCTGTTCGTGTTGGTTGGCTTGTAAGAGTTGTATTTCTGACGCTAGAGAGGTGAGATGACAGCGGGAGCGTTGAAGCGTGCATGCCATCACGTGTGCAAGCAGCCCCGCTCCGCCCCGCTCAACCCTCAAACAGGGCTATATGGGGTCAGTTCACGTATGGGAGGGGAGCGCCGCGCGGGCTGCCAGGAGGGAGCGGGGGCGGGGGTTGCCCAATCGGGAGGGTGCCACATCAGGGGGCAACACATGGTTCCTCCGGGAGCCTCGAGTGGGTGGCCGTCTGCGGCGGGCGCCACGGCAGCTGCAGCATGTGTTTTTGCCTACCTAGGTGATCAACCTCAGAGCTCTGCCACCAAGCATGCAGCCTTTCGCCTCCTCCTCGCAAAGTGGCTCCAACACCGCAACGTGTGCGGCGCCGCGCCATGCCCTGTGGGCAGGCCGTTCTTCCGCACCGGGCCCTTCCAGACCTTGAAACGATGACAATTCTCTTCGTGGACCATTCTCATCATGGAGGGCTGCCGTGGAGCACTTGGCCTTTAGGTCAAAGTGGCGGCGTGAGGCGGGCGCCAGGCGGGACCCGTGGGCATCACCGCCTACATGGCTCTTGAGGCTGGCATCGATGTGAGCAGCAACTCCATTTCGAATTGCCCAACTCAGACGCTCCGAAGCAACTCTTTCAGCCTCTTGAACTGGCACTTCCGCTCTGTTCTGTCGGTTTGCCCGAATGGAGGGGCCCACCGTGGTGCTGGTGGCCTCCAGCACCGAGGGAAACATAACAGCTTGGTGAGCGGAAGCCATGCATGTGTTTTGCATGTGCTCTTGTGCGCGCCGCTTGCTCGCGGCTGCGGCCTCCTTTTGCGAGCGCGCGCCGAGCCAGGGAGCATGCCCATGCAGCAGCGCCGCGCATCCTTCCCGCTGCAAGCTCGCCTGCCGCCGCCCGCCGCCTGCCGCCGCCGCCTGCCGCCGCTCCCCGTCCGCGCAGGGACGTGCACACTGGCACCGCGCTGACCTCCTTCAAGTCCAACGCCTGCCCCCCTGGCGCCCTGTCTCCTCTGGGGCGAGACTACCTGGTGGCAGCGCAGCTGGGGCGCGGCGGCGGCCTGCACTTCTGGGCCTGGCACAAGGACCAGCTGTACCAGCGCAGCTTTGCCCCCGAGCCGCTCACGGCGGTGGCGGCCAGCCCCGGCGGCGTCTTCTGCGCGGCGGGCGGCGCCTCGGGGGCGGCCTACGTGTGGGAGAGCTCCAGCGGCCGCCTGCTCAAGGCCTGGCCCGCACACTACAAGGTGCGGCGGCTGGGCTGCGCGTCGGGCTGGCAGGCAGCGGCTGGATATGCAACCGCTGGGAGCCTGTGATGGGCAGCGGCTGCCTGCTGCCTGCTTGCGACTGGCTGAAGGCCGTGGCTGCTGCCAGGCCAGGGCACGGCGCTGCCGCTCACGTGCTCGCCGCCTCCCTTTCCTGCCTCCCCCTGCCACGGGTGTCATCCGCCCCGCCTCCCACCCCGCCCCGCACCGCAGGCCATCACCTGCCTGGCCTTCTCGGGCTGCGGCGCGGTGCTGGTGAGCTGCGGCGAGGACACGATGGTCAACGCCTGGCTGCTGGCGGATGTGCTGGACGCCGCGGCGGGGCAGCAGGCGCAGGTACGGATGGTACCGCAGCCTGGCTGTACCTCGGGGTGGCGGGCAGCAGGGGCAGGGGTGCTGGCAGGTGGCGGCGGGCGTTTCCAGGGCGGGAGGCGGGGCGGGGCGGCGGGGGTGGGAGCTGGGGGTGGGAGGAGGTGGCGGGAGGTGGCCGGGGACTGCTGCTCCCACCTGCCTCTGTGCCACGCTTGCCTGCGAGCACAGTGGGTACGGCACCCCCACACACCATACACACATGCCCAGCCTGTCCGTCCGCCCTGCCCCCCTCCTCCCTTGCTGCCCGCCCCGCAGATGGGCGCCCCGCCGCTGCAGCCGCTGCACTCCTGGTCAGACCACACGCTGCCCGTGACGTGCCTGGCGCTGGGCGCGGGCGGCGGCGGCGCGCCGCTGCTGGCCTCCGGCAGCCTCGACCGCAGCGTGGCGCTGCGCAGGCTGGGCGGCGCGGGCGGCGGCGCGCCGCTGCGCAGCGTGCGGCTGCCGGCCGCGGTGCACAGCCTGGCGCTCGACCCCGGGGAGCACGCCCTGTACGCCGGCTGCGCCAGCGGCGCCATCTACGAGATCTCGCTCGTGGGGAACGCTGCTGCTGCAGCGGCGGCCGCCGACCACGCCGGCCCGGCACCTGGAGCTGCTGTAGCGCCGGCTGCGGCTGCGGCTGCGGCTGCGGCTGCTGCAGCGGCAGGGGCCGCCGCGTGCCCGCACCCTGTGATGGAGGGGCACGTCGGCGTGGTCACCTGCCTGCAGCTCACCCCCGACGCCTCCCTGCTGGTGTCTGGGTCTGAGGACCAGTCTGTGCGGGTGTGGGACCTGCGCAGCCGCCAGCCCGTGCGCCTGCTGCAGAACCCGGCCAGGGGGCCCGTCACCGCGCTGCTGGTGCTGCTCCAGCCGCCCTTCATGCAGGTGGGTGGGTGGGTTGCGGGGTGGGGTTGCAGCTGCTGCCTCGCCTGCTGCTGGTTGAGCTTGCTGCGCACGGCAGGTCAGGCGCCCGCAGCTGGCGCTCGCTGCCTGCCGCGGGTTTCTGCTCGATTGTCGAGCTGGTGGCGGCATGCTGCCGCTGATGCCACTGATGCCACCCCTGCATTGCCGCCCCACCCTGCCCGTAGGTTGGGGGCAGCCACGCGGCTTCTGCCGGCAGCCAGAGCGGCAGGCGGGGCCCCAAGCGGCCGCAGCCCCTGGCCCCGTTCTGCAAGTATCCCAATGCCCCCGGCACGCTCCAGCCCTGGGAGGGCGGCCTGGTGGTGCTGGACGGCTCGGTGGCGGCGGGAGATGCCCTGGGCGACGACTGGCAGCAGCTGGCGGCAGCGGCAGGCGACGGCGATGCTATGCTGGCGGCAGCGCCTGCAGCTGCAGGAGCAGGCATGGGCCAGGAAGGCGCAGCGGCGGCGGCAGCGGCAGGAGCGGGGGCAGCGGGCGGGGGCGACGCGGCGGCGCTGCAGGAGGAGAACCGGCGGCTGCGGGGGCAGCTGGCGGCGGCGCTGGCGGCGGCGCAGCAGTGGGGCCGCCTCAACGGCCAGCTGCAGCAGCTGTGCGCGGAGCGCCTGCTGGCAAACGGCCACTGAGGACCGGCCTGGAGGCGGTGCCCGTCCTTCCCATGACACAGCTGTAATTCCCGTGAGCTGTCCCGTGACCTGGAGTGTCGTCAGCACAGCGCCGCCAGCCTGAGGCCAGCTCCGGGCGAGCGGGATTGGCCGCTGTCAGCTCTCATTCATTCAGGTCAGCTTGCCATCGCTCTTCATTTCCAAAGCCGCCGATGGACGAGGGAGAGTGGCAAACCGCGACGGGTGGGAGGCGCAAACGATCGGCAGCTCGCGGCGGCGCAGCTGCAGGTAGTGTGAGATCCCAGTAACAATCCATGATACAGCTCGCTCCCGCTTGCCATCTTCCATGCCGCAGCACATGCCAAGCGCCCTGCTTGCACTTGCAGGCCCTGGCCAGCACCACACATCTCCTCCGGCGGGAGGCACCTGCGTCAGCCCAGCGCGCCCGCCCACGGAGCGCCAGGTGCAGCGGTCCTGCGCCCTTGTCGACGACGCCGCGCGTGAGCTGGCGGCGGCGCCCTTCTGGCGGCACCTGGCGGCCCAGCTGGAGCGCCTGCCGCCGCACTGCGCCGGTGCCAAGCTGCAGAGCATGGTGGTGTACGGCCTGGGATCGCTGGAGCAGCCAGGGGCAGTACACATCCGCTACCAGCTTGCGGCGGCCCGCCTGCTGGCGGCCGCGCTGCCGCTGGCGGCGGCGGCGCAGGCCTTTGACCCTGTGTTTACAGCCCTGGACCGCGCCACGCTGGCACACTGCAGCATGGAGGTGGGTGCATGGGAGCAGATCCTGGCAGGGGGCCGGGCAGGGCCTGCAGATGAGTGACGCAGGGACCTGCTGAGCAGGGCCGCCTCCCGCACGGCGGTGCGAGGTTGTTTTCCCCACCCTGGCAGCAGCGCGCGCTCACCGCCCCCGCCTCCCTCCCCCCTGCTCCGCCGCCCGCCGTGCAGGTGCTGGCGCAGGACGAGCGTGGCCGCCGCCTGGCCCGCAGCCCCACCCTCTTCTTCATGCCGCACTGCGAGGGGCTGCTGACCGATGCCCTGCTGGCAGCCAACCTGGCGGCCGGCACCCTGCACAACGTGGTGGTGCTGGGCAACCGCTTCAGCGGCTACCAGCTCGCCTGGGCGCCGCCGTGCCGCGGGCGGCGGCAGGCCGGGGAAGGGGGCGGAGGCGCGGCGCCCGAGCGGCCCTCTACCATGCTGCGGCTGTGCGGCTGCGGGGCGGCGCGGGAGCTGGCGGTGGGCGAGTGCGGCTTCCCCGTAGCTTCTGCCTTCAACGACTTAGGGCTGCACTGGTTCCCGCCCGACTGGCAGCAGCTGCTGGATGCCAGCGTTGCCAGCGGCAGCGGCAGCGGCGGCGGCGGCGGCGACGCCAGCGACCCGGTTGTAAGCTGAGACCTTTTGAGGCGGTCAACTGAGCGTCACAGGAGCAAGGCAGAGTCGTCTGGCAGTGCCAGGGGGGCCTTCAGGCAAAACAATCGAAGTTTGGATTGCAGTGGGCATGTTGGCGGGTGCTGAATGGGATACTGGGTGCCATATTAGGCCATACATTATTGGCTTGGGTGCCCACATTTCGCGGCACTTGCTGCTGAGGTCGCCTCGCGGCGCGTGATCACGCGCCGCCAGCCGCCGGCCCTGCCGCGCTGCCGCTGCTGCGCTATCTGTTGGCGGAGCCGCGTTGATGCGGGCCCCTTGGAGTGGTGCTCAGCCTGGTGTGCTGCCTAGGTGGCCGCCTCCCTTCTTGCGGGGGGCCCCACCAAGCTTGCCATGCGTGGTGGGCGGTGCTAGGCCATAGTGCTGGGCGCTAGTGCTGGGCCAGCTAGCGGGTGGGGGTGCTGCGCCCCGAAAAGTAGTTGAGCATGCGAGCCATGGAGGAGGCGGAGCGCTCGGCCCCCGCCTCGGGCACAGCCACCTGCGGCAATGTGGGCAGGGTGCGGCGTGTGTCGAGCACGCTCTTGGCCCAGCATAGCTACAGAGTACTTGCCCTGTTCTGCAGGCTCCTGCACGCCTCTCAGCATGCCCGGCGCTGTGCGCGGGCCGCAGCAGCCCCTGGCGCCGCCTCACCGTCACTTTGCTGGGCCGCATGTCCACGGCCTGTGAGTCCTCCTCCTCAAACAGCGCCACGCCTGGCGGCAGGCCCCTGCTGGAGGCAGTGATAGCGATGACGGGCTGGCCGCCGGCGCCGGCCGCCTTGCCGGCGCCGGGCTTGGGCGGCGCGCTCCCCGGCGCTGCGGCGGCCAGCTGCTGCTGCTGCTCCATGTACTGCTTAAGGTAGCCGCCCTCCTGCTGCTGCTGCTGCTGCTGCACCATTGCGTCGGAGGGAGGAGGGGCTGGCTTGCTGTGCGTGGCTGGTATGCTGCCGCCGCCGGCCCGCAGCGCAGCCAGCTTGCTCTGGCCCTTGTCAAACACGCTCTGCAGCCAATCGGTGCGCTGGCTGGAGCCTGGGGCTGGCGCCGGGCCCCCAGCCGCCTCCTCAGCCTCCCGGGCATCCAGGCTGGCAGCCTGCAGCGCTTGGGTGAGGCCCGAGGCGCTTGCGGGCGCCCCGGTGGCGGCGCTTGGCGCGCCGCCGCCGCCGCCGCCGCCGCCGCCCTGCTTGGCTTTGATGGCGTCCTTGCGCTGCTGATTTATGGGCACCGGCGGCAGCACCTGGCCCTCCTCCACCTCCATGTCCACGCCAGCCGCCACGCCGCAGGCTGCCAGCCCGGCGGCCGCGGGCCCGGCACCGGCGGCGCCCGCCCCGCCGGCACCCACGCCGTGCACGCTGCCCTGCCGGCTGCTGGCGCTGCCGCTGGCGGCCACCTTGACCGCGGCCAGGGCTGCGGCGGCGGAGGGCGGGCGGACGATGGCGCCATCATCCAGCACCAGGGAGGGGTCTCGCGGGTAGACCACGCCGCGGAGGCTGGGCGGGTCGGGCAGCAGGCGCTTGACCTGCGGCGGGGAGGGCAGCATGTCGGCAAGAGGCGACAGAGCGGGCAGGCAGGCAGGCAGGCGGGCAGGCAACAGCATCAGCCGAGCTTTGTGGAGTAGAGTTTTAATGTAGATGCCCCTGCTGCTGCCACGTGGCCGAAACGTTCTGCCACAAGCATGGTGAGAGCCAGGTACTGTGTTCCTCTTCCCACACTCCCCCAGCCCCTGCCGGCCTCCCCGTGGCCCACCTGCGCCACCTGGGGCGTGGTCTGCGGGGAGCGCACCCCCTGCGGGAACTTGCGGGAGTCGTGGAAGGCCTGGGTGAAGCGCAGGGCGGCGGCGCACGTCACGCTGTACAGCCGCCCCAGCATCACCGCAACCAGCGTGCCGGTGCGCCCGTGCCCGCCCCAGCTGCAGGCCGCAGCGGGAGTGGGAGACACAGGGGTGTGGCGGAGGCAGGGGGTCAGGGGCACTTGGGCTGCATACGGCCTGGGCCAGCGCCGCTCCCGGCAGGCCAGCACCCGCAGGTTGTGTGCGATTGTGAAGGAGGCGAGCGGGCACTCGCGGCTGGCGGCAGCCGACGCGCGCTGCGGCAGCGCCGCTCTGCCCGCCCCTTGCACCCCAGCTGCACCCGCCGGCGACTGACGCTGGCAGCACTGCATGCAGCACCCACCAGGCCTACCGCCCGCCAGCCCACCCACCACGCCTGCCAGCACCCACCAGTGAATGTACATTCGCTCGCCGCGCAGGATGCGGATGCAGCAGTCGTCAGCCAGCCGCGACAGCGCCACGTCGCTCGTCACATTGCCGTCGATGATGGGCAGGTGCAGGAAGTCGAGCTTATCCTGCGGTGGGGCAGGCAGGAACGGCAGGGCAGGCCAGATGTCAATCTTTCCAGGAGGCGGAGAGTCGAGGAGAGGAGTCGAGGCGGGTGCTGCTTGGGAAAGCACCCTCAGGAAGGTGGCTCAGAAGCGCAAGTGAGCAGGCACACGCGCGCGCCCCAGCACCCACCTGCATGATGCGCTGGCTGCGGGTCTCCCGCGCGCGTATCAGGATCTGCTGCGCGTCCTTGATGTAGGGGCGCAGGCCCTGGCCCGACCGCCACGCCGCGTCGGGCGTGTGCAGGCTGAACTCGGCCTGCAGGCACACAAACGTGTTCACGCCCAGCTCCAGCAGAGTGGTCAGGATGCGCTGCGTCTCCGCGTCGTCCAGGCTGGCGGGGTAGGCGCCTGCGGCAGGCGCGGCGGGGCGAGCTGAGGTGATTGGATGCTGTCTTGAGGGCCCAGCGCACGGACAGCCGGACAGCAGACGAGCCGAGTGCAGGGCTGCCGCAGCACGCTGCAGCTGCCCCACGCCACCTCACCTGCCAGCAGCCGGCCCTTGATGATCCAGTTGCTCCAGGGCGTGGGGCCCCGGAATTCGGGGCAGGGGAGGCTGGGGAGCGGCGGCAGGCCGTAGCCGGGTGGCGGCGGAGCAGCCGCCGTCGGCGAGTGGTTCATTTTGTCGGCGGCGTTGACTGCGCGGCGCCAATGGCCTCCAACACCGCCTCCAAGGCGACAGAGGCGCGGTGGGTGGCGGAGAGCCCGCAGGCAGCTTGCGGTGCTGAGCCCACCAAATGAGCGCCAAGGTATGGCCTGCTTGCAGCTAGGGTGCCCGCGCTCAACCCCCGGAGATGTTAGCTGGCGTCGATAACATCAAGAGAGCGTGAGGGCAAGAATAGGACGGACCCTGCTTTGCCTGCTGGGCCTTGGCTATCGGCAGCCGAGTCCAATGCCGTTTTGTGATAGCCCTGGATTACTGATCACGAAATTGGCATTGATGGATAAGCGTGGCTGCCGTACAGGGATTCTGGGAAGAATGAGGGCCACCACCGACGCCCTAAGTAGTTTGCTGAGAGGCTGCAGCTGCAGATGGATCAGGCAAGCTTGGTGGGGCGTAATGGGGCGTGCACTTCACCCATCACCAGCTGCCGCTGCCCGCCTGCTGCCGCCGACCACTCGGTTCCGCATGGAGTAATGCTCGCTCAGTGCCAGCGCTGCAGGGCCGCCAGGTGAACATCTGACGCTTGAGCATTGTGCGAGCGCTGGGCATGCCGCTCAGCGGGTGGAGCCAGGCGGCGCGTCACGCTCTCAGCTGCTGACCGCCGCCGCAGGCTCAGCCGCCAGCTGCAGGAGCTGGGTGCTGCGCTGGTCACGTTGCGTGCTGGCCCTACAGTCCAGAAGTAACTCAGTCCACAGGTGGTGGTCCTGCAGCGCTGGGCCCGCACCGGCAGCGTCGGCATGCCGCATCGGCATGCCGCAGGCGGTACCACCCGTTTGACGGCGGCATGCGATGGGGCGTGCAGGAGCACGGGGTGCTCGTGTGCCGCTTCCTGGCGGCACCTGCTGGCGCTGGGGTTTTGCATCGCGGTGCAGCTGCCCGACATGGGCAGCCGGTATGCAGCCGTTGTGGCGTGCCCGGGGAGAGCTGAAATGTAAACAGGCCCTGCAGTGGCTATTCAAGCCATGTATTAAGACCTAGCCAGACAATGCATGATTGTGCCTCTCAAGGCTCGCCTGTGGCCAGCTGGTCCTTGAAGCTTCTGATGGTTTCAAGGTGCATGCCAGAGCGGCGCTGAGCTGGCGCCCGCCCCGCCATCACATGGACCGGCTATACAGCGGCACATGCGGGGCGCGCTGCACTTGGGCGCCATTCTGATCACCCAGGCAGCCTTCAAGCTTTCGTCGGTGGGGCTGGCACTCTCGGAGCGACCACTCGGCTTCAGCCCGCCTTTTGTCGCAGAGTTGAGGCTTGCGGAGCCCAGCGAGGTCAACCCTTTGTTTCCCGCCGACAGGACCCTCGCAACCGAGCAGGCGGCGGCAGTGGCTGGCCGGTCGACGGCAGCACGCGGCACCCACTTCTGCCGCCACCGGACCCGTGCCAGGCTCGCTGCGACACAGACAGCAGGCAAGAGGCGCGTGCTGCCGCCGCCCAGCCATGCGGGTGTGGGCTGTCAGCGACATCCACACCGACTATGCCCAGAACCTGGAGTGGGTGCGCGCGCTGGCGGCCGGCGGCGGCGGCAGCGTGGCGGGCCTGTCCCGCGACGTACTGCTGGTGGCGGGCGACGTCAGCGACGACCTGGCCACCCTGGAGAAGACGCTGCAGCCGCTGGTGGACGCCTTTGCCCACGTCTTCTTCGTGCCGGGCAACCATGGTGAGGCGGCAGGCGGCGGCGGCGGCACCTTGTGCGGGCGCTCCCGCAGCCTCCGCCTGTGCTTTACAGTGCATGCACCCTCGCCGGAACGACTTTTAGCGCCGACCAACCCTGTCCTGCTTCTCAAATGCGCTGATTCTGAGGTCTTCGGTGCACTGCAGATCTCTGGGTGAGGCGGGACGAGCGTGGCCAGTACGACTCACTAGGTGGGCCTTGAGCGGCACCCCCTGGGCCCACCCGCCATGCCAGGCCGACCTTTTGCCGCTGCAGCGGCTGTCAGTGCCTGCCTCCTGCCTCTTGGATCCTCCCTTCCTGTGACCACCGCCTCACTGCCTCCGCCCCCACCCTACCTGCCCGCCCGCCGAGCCGCCGCAGAGAAGCTGCGGCGCGTGCAGGCGCTGTGCGCGCGGCTGGGCGTGCGCACCGAGCCCGCCTGCGTGGGCGGCGTGTGGATCTTCCCCATCCTGAGCTGGTATCATGCCAGCTGGGACAGGGAGCCCGATGTGCCGGGCGCCCACCCCATCTCAAAGGCACGCCCGGGCTGCGTCGGGCGCAGCGGACACAGGGCGGCAGCCTGCGGAGCGAGGGTGGCAGCCCTGAGGGCTCGCAGGGCTGCGCGGCACGCCTGCCGGCGGCACGGCAGCAACCGCGGCGCAGCGCGGCGCTGCGTGGCGCCGCCTCGCCTGCTGCTCGCCTGCTGCCTCGGGACGTGTGCGAGCAGGCGGGAGCATCCCCCCCCTGGCTCCTCCCCTCCTCTGCCACCCACCACCACCACTACCACCACCCCACACCCCGCAGCCGCACCCTCCGCCCTGCCCTCCAGGTCATGCTGGACTTTCACGTGTGCAGCTGGGCCTCAGCTCCCCACCTCAGCCCGCACAACGACTCCCTGGCCCTCCACTTTGACGCCCTCAACGAGCCCGCCTTCAGCCGGGCGCTGCAGGTGGGCCGCGCCGCGCGCCTGCCCGCTCGCCTCCCTTCGTTGCCCGCAGCCCCTGTGCCGCCACGGCGCCTGCCCAGTCTCATCTCGCAAGCATCACAGCACATCCCCGGCAGCAGTGCCCCTGCCTGTCCTCCTCCCCGTTTGCCGCAACCCCGTGCTTTCCACCCGTGGCTGCTGCTTGTCCACCTGGGGCATTGCACGCCACCTAGCGGGCGCCACCACTCCTCACGTGACCCCCCTGCCGACCCCTCAACCCGCCCCGCCCCCGCAGCGCGTGGAGGAGCAGGCGGCGGCGGCCGGCGGCGCGCGGCCCCCCGTCCTCTCCTTCTCCCACTTCCTGCCCCGCCAGGAGCTGCTGCCTGAGAAGCGCATGCTGTACCAGCCCAACCTGGCCAAGGCGGCTGGCAGCGACGCTCTGGAGGCGCGGGTGCGGCGCCTGCGCCCCCTGGCCCACGTCTTTGGCCACACTCACTTCTCCTGGGACGCAGAGGTGGAGGGGGTGCGGTACGTGCAGTGGCCGCTGGGATACCCGCAGGAGCACGCGCGCAGGTGGGCGCGCGGCGGCGGCGCCGGCGGCTGGCTGTGTGCGGCGGCAGCTGCGGTGTGGGTCGGCTCAGGCGGCGGCGCCTGGGCTGGCTGGGTGGCGGGGCGGGACCCTGCGCGCATGGCTGCTGTGTTGTGTGGTGCTGCCAGCTGGGTGCCCCGGCGCCTGCCTGCAGGTGGGTCCTTTCCAGCTGATGTCCGTGCCAGCCGATCGCCTGCCCCACCGTTGCGCGCAGGCGCGGCGGCGGCGCGGGCTGGCTGCCGCTGCCGCTCTTCGACAGCGACGCCGTGCGGCCCGGCGTCGGCGACGGCAGGAGCGGGCTCGCGCCGCCGCAGGCGTGCTACTGGTCAGACCTGTACAGCACCTACCCTCGCAATCCCGCCAACATCACCGCCGCGCCCTGGGTCACCACCACCACCCGCGCCTGAGGGCAGCCTGGCGCTCCTGCTCCCGACGGGTGGCGGCGCTTGGCGGCATCTATGCCAAGGCATCGTGGCATCGCTGCCACGCCCTGCATTCCCACCTGCTGCGCCCGACCCCAGCTTGCCAGCCGCCCTTGCACCTGCCGGACCCACTCCTTACTAACTAACCAGCAGCAACCAATCCGCTCTCAATATCCTGGCCCATGCCAACCCCTCGGCCTGTCTTTCATGCCCCCTGTCCGGATTCCTGAGATTCTTTGGCCGCGGCCCGCTCCGCAGCTGCCTGTCATGCTGCCACCAGCTCTTGCCCAGCTTGTATGCTCCCGCCCTGCCTCCCACTCCCTCTGCCCTTTAGTCTGAAGGGCCATTCAGTCTGCCAGGCTCAACCCATTGTTTTACACATACAGTTTGCGTTTAGTGTTCGCGCTACAGGTTGCCTGCAAAACGGCCCCACCTCGTGCGGCGCCGGCTGCCGCCGGGGCGAGCCGCCAGCCGGCGAGCGGCGGGGAGGAGCGCTGGGAAGGCGTGGCGGGAGAGCATTAGGGGTGCGAGGAGGAAAGGAACCAAGAGAGAGGGAGGGTGAGCGGTCAGGAAGCGCAGGGCCCCAGCACAAGGGGGCCTCTATCCTCTGAGGGGCAAGGTGTGGGTGCAGGTATTACGTAAGAATGTACAGCGATGGGTCCATCAACGGCAGCAGCCCGGGACGGCAGGCGTTGCTTGCAGGCCGCCCCACGGCAGCGGATGGGTCGGCGGCGGCGAGGGCTGCGCCAGCACGCCGGCGGCGCGGGCCCGGCCGCGGGCAGCGAGGGCGGAGGCTCCGGAAAGACCGGCCCCTGGCTGCTGTCCCTGCAGGCTGACAGCCTTGCAGCACGCCGTCGCGCCGCCGCCGCCGCCGCCTCCGGCGAGCCGCCGCCAGCTCACCAGTTGCGGCCAAACAGGCCGCCGCTGGGCGCCTGCTGCCGCACGTTCTGGCTGGGCAGCGGCGGGATGCCGTTGTTCTCCACCCGCAGCTCTGGCGTGGCGGGCTGCAGCAGGGGGGGAAGCACAGTGGCAGGGAGGCGGGCGCGGGCGGCAGTCGGCACGGCAGCAGGCAGCAGGACAGGGCTGGAGGTTGAGGGCGAGCGGAGCGGCAGCAGCCCGAACCGAGGCAGGAGGCAAAATGGGCCTTTTGGCGGCGTGTGGGCCGTTTGGCGGCGTGTGGGCCGTTTGGCGGTGTGTGGGCGGCGGCTGCGTGCGCTGCGTGCGCTGCGGCCAGGCGGGCCGCGCTGTGCCGGGGCGGGTGGGCGTGTGCTGGTGGGCGGTTTTGGGTGGGCCAGAACCGATGCAGCTATGCGCGCGG